TGAGAGAGAGTGACTGGCCCAAAATCACCCAGCCAGCTTTCATGCCTAAGGCAGGACTAGAACTCACAGTCTCCTCCTGCTTTCTTCTTCTGCAGTGAAGACTGAATTGGAGAATTTCAGGTTTTTATAAAGTTATATTGTTTTTATGATACTTCGTGTATTCTTTTCATGATAGAGAGCAGACACAAAGCAGATAACTGAACAATTAGATTGTGTTCATATAATAATTTATGTAGAGTGACTAATTTCTAGATCTGCTTTAAGACGCTAACTTGCATTATTTCTATATCGCTAGAATAGGTTTGATGTCATAAAATTATAGAGTTTGAAGGGTCTATAGGCCCTCAAGTCTACTCCACCTGTCTCCATTTCCTACAGGAATCCCTGTCCCCCATAGTTTCTGCCTGTCCCATTAGTTCTGGCAGAGCAGACCTGCTTAGGGCCCCCTTGATGAAGCAATGTCACCTGGTGGGTCCTAGGAAGCATATCTCGTCTTTCGCAGCACCTGCTTTATGGAACAGCCTCCCCCTGAAGATTTGGGTGGCCCTGACCCTGTCAAAGACCTGGCTTTTCCCCCAGACTCTGGGGCCAGGATGTTACTAGAGCTTGCCATGTGTGTTTGGCGGGGGGGATGTGACACGCTGGCAAAGTGTTTCACAGTGGCCTTGACTTCATTCTTTCAATTGCCTTGATTGTGTTACGTTTTACATTTTGTTCATTATGCATTGGTAAATGGATGGCTATATCAATTTGTTAAATAAATAAAATGAAAGCACCATCTTGCTTGAACATATGCAGGGAGGAGAGGTCACCACTTCTCTGAACAATTGGTTCTACCCTTGACCTGGAAAGTTTTAGCATTAAAACATTTCATCTAACTTTCAATCAAATCTGCCTTCCTGTAATTTGACCTTCTGTGTAACTCTTTTAGGTTTTTGAAGAGTGCTGTCATATCCTGCCCACGCCCCCATCAAACATTTTTTTCCTCAAGGTTAAACATACCCAGCTCTTTCAGTCTCTCTTCATAGAACTTAGTTTTGAGACTCCTGATCATCCTTTTTGCCCTTCTTTGAACTTGTTCTGGTTTCTCTGAAAATACAA